CCGGACAACTTCCTTCACCACATTCCGTAGTGCGTGGTTTTTTCCAGTAATGTGAACATTGTTAACGACTCAACACGATGACAGCATGGCGAGCTCACTGATCTTAGACATGGTCTACGGCATGAAGGTTAAATCCGAGGATGATGAGTTCGTCGCTTACGCCAACAACTCTCAGAAGGGTATCGATAGGTGCTTTGATGGATGGGCCGTGGAATTCTTTCCCTGGCGTGAGTTCTCATTGTCCACTGCGGCTCCGTGTGCTAACGGGATGCGCTGTCAGTCCAACGCCTGCCGTCTTGGCTCCCTGGAATGGGTTGGAAGAAGCAGACCGACGAATGGAAGTGTGATGCTCTGAGCATGCTCAACGCTCCTTATGAGTGGTTCAAGGGAGAGCTTGTGAGTTGCATATCGTAACGCGCTCTATATCTGACGGTACTGTAGGGTCAAGGAAGAGCGACACAATGTGTGGCCACAGAGTTGTTGGACGACTACAACGGTGACGCGATCCCAAAAACAAGGGAATACATCATCAAAAGCATTTGCGCCACTGCTTACTTGGGTACGCTGGGTCTCTTACGATATTGAAATGCGGTAATTCATCGCCTACATTCTCTAGGATCTGCAGACACAGTGCGTGGTCATGCTGTACTGACATATATATTTTCGTGCCAATCTTCGGCAATAGACTGTTGTCTACCTCAAAGCTTTCATCCTCGCCATGCTTCTCTTTCCGGAGGTGCAACAACGTGCACATGATGAGCTAGATAGAGTTGTTGGGGACGCCCGTCTTCCAGAATTTTCGGATGAGACCGCGCTCCCATACATCTCGGCACTTGTAAAAGAAGTCCTTCGCTGGGGAACTATCGCACCTCTGGGTACGCTTTTTCGCTATTTGCTCGCTTTATGTCTCCTTTGAAGAGTGCCTACCGTTGGGAATAGGGATGCCACACGTCAGCGCCGAGGATGACGTATACAAGGGCTACTTCATTCCCAAGGGCACCGCGATAACGTGGAACACTTGGTAAAGCCCCCTGCTATACGTCGACTCTCGCTAAATGTTGACGCAGGGCGTTTATGAACGACCCGTCCACCTACCCTGAGCCGGACAAGGTACGCCCAGAAAGATTTCTAACAGCCAGTGGCCAGCTGGATACGAGCGTGCAAGGACCAGACGCTGTCTTTGGCTTTGGGAGGAGGATCTGTCCGGTAAGTTAAGTATCGGTCAGTCGCCACGCGGTACTCTACTAAGTCACCCTAATCCTAGGGCTGATTTATGGCGCGCGATTCAATGTGGTACACCTCAGCCTGCATACTCTCTGTGTTCGACATCACGCCGAAACCAGGACAGCCCTTGCCCTCTGAACCTTTGTTTCATCCCGGGTTGACTTTGTAGGTCGGACCATCGCGGAACCCATATCTGTGCTTACCCATCGTGTACTAGACATGTGAACCCTTTTGAATGTGACATTAAGCCGCGCTCCGAGCAGGCGACCCGGCTGATACAAAAGAGTCAAGAGCCTCCTAGCGCGTAGTCAGGCTGCCCTTTCCGATGGCGGATTGGTGGTATACTACTGGTTGTAAATGTGTATGTCATGGTGGTGTATGTACGCTACGTCGCTAAATAGTAAAATCTCATTCTAAATTAAAAGAATGTAAGAATCAAACAGTGTCTGTCATCTGTGCTAAGTCGCTGGAAAAATGATACCACCGACGGGACTCGAACCCGCAACTCCCGCTTCTTAACAACGTGGAATGCGTCGTAGGAAAATGATGCCCTACCATTGGGCCACGGCGGCTTTACCAAAAGGTACAGCGCAAGTACACAAGACCTGTCGAAGTGTGACATACAATTGACCAATTTTACTCATATACGCCTTACTTGCAATCACACTTCAATTATCCTGTCAAACATGTGTCGTACCCAATTCAAGTTTCAAGTTTCAACGTTCAAGACCCTGAAGTTCGACGTTCCAAGCATCTGTAGCGACTTGTGCAGATTGGACGAGGACATATGGGGCCTTCGTCTGTTTTGACCGACAAACCCAGTACCTCAGGTGCCTTCCATATACGTCGAGTCCCCGGGCACTCGTCTTATGAGCACGAATGATGTATAGCATTGACAACAGCAACGAGCGTTCTGGGTAAGATGGCTTCGTCGACCTGCAGTGAGTTTCGATTCGTTCCGCATATCAGTGCTTTGTATTGAATTGTCATGGGTAGATCGCATTTGGCAATGCTTCACCATACGTATGTCGAGCATGTCTCTAACTTCAGTTTTATTATGACCAGATGTCAAGTTTTTCTTCAGCATCGGTCCTGGAAGGCGCTTGGTCCCTACACCAAGCTCGGACCTGAAGAGCATCCATCGACCTCTGCTCCAGGAAAGTCAACCCGAAGCGCGGAGGCTGCACGAGAAAAGAATATACTTTCTCGATGATTCCTCCACCAACTCCCTGAGACAGAGTTCTTCGAACACATCCTGTGGTGAGTGTGTTTTTGATTGAAGCGCGGATGACGTTGACGACCGGTTTGTGTGGAACATAGCGAACGCGTTGATATCGGACCGACGGACATGGCGTATGGTTTCTCCAGTCAAGCACGATAAAGACAGGCTCATTGGCCATGGAGATACGACCGAAAAGGGTGCAGATAAAGCTCTCAATGGTGGTCATGTTTGCATCCCTCCATGGAGTGGATAGCTTTCCCCCTTCTTATCTATCGCTCTGATGGGCTTGGGACAACCGGTTCAGCGTGTCTTTGGCATCCTGGAATGGGCCGGAAGAACGTCCAGGCTCGTCCGTGGCCTTCTGACGCTTACCATCGCGCAGACACCCGAATACATTTGAATGTCCCGGGCCACCCGCCGATGAGATGAAAAGGTCGCAAGATGGACAGAAGGAAAGGAGGCATGCAGATTAGGGTCCTAGACCCCTATGCGTTTCTGGCTGCGCCAGCCACGATCACCAGGCCCTATACCTGCACCAGTCCGCCGTACGGGTCTCTGAATTTTTGAGCTGGGCGTCTTACTCCACGCGCAGATGACCCTACTTACTTGAGGGCGCATTAGACGGCGGCAACAATACGGTCCTCCTTCGCTCCCCAACATCACAATATCGAGCGCGCCATGCCTTTCGCGGTGAAAGGAAACCGTATAGATCATGGGTGTCGAGTTGTGTGATCTACCAACGTCGCCCATTCAATTCGTATCAGAGGATACTTAGTCCATGCGGGTGTCATTTCCCCAAGGCTTTCACCCGCTGATCCTGATCATATGGCGATTTCTCTCCTCGACGCTTGCGTGGTTTTCTTTTCCGCGATTCTTTCGTATAGCCTCTTTGCTCGACGTCGGAGGTTTACTCAAGCGTTACCTCCCGGACCCAAGGGATGGCCTCTCATAGGCAACATATTCGACATCCCGAAGTCCTCGCAGTGGCTTGCGTACGCTAATTGGGCGCGAGAGTATGGTAGGTCTGCCCGGCTTCGCTGGCAAGGGATAATCAAACTGAATGATGTGTTAGACTCGCCTCTCATATACTTCAACATGTTGGGTACCCACTTCATGGTCGCGAATGACATAGCAACGGCGAGGGATCTATTGGACCAAAAGCGTTCCAACTTCAACCTTCGGTGCGTCTCATGTCGTTCACACAGGACTTCGTATTGAACCGGCGCATGCAGACCGCGTCTTCCGATGCTCAATGAAGCGTATGTTCGCTTTGTCTTTATCTCTGGGCACACTTATGATCAAGTATATGCTTCTGTTTCAGCATCGGGTTCGGGTGGAACTTCGCCTTCTCACCAGACCTTGAGCTGTGGAAAACATGCCGCCCCATGTTCCAACGACACTTCCGTCAAGTCGAGGCCCGAAAATGGAGGCCGCACGAAAAAATAATGACACATACCCTACTGCAACGTTTCTTGGAAACTCCGGACAAGTTCCTGCGCCATATCCCATAGTGCGTGCGTACTTAGATTAGACGTAAGTAGACGCTGATGACGACTGGGGGTGGTTGTAGCATGACGAGTTCACTGATCCTAGACATGGTTTATGGCATCAAGGTCAAACCCGAGGATGACGAGTTCGTCTCTTTCGCCGATAGCGCTCAGGAGGGTGTCGACAGGTCGCTGGATGGATGGGTCGTAGACATTCTTCCCTGGTGTGAGTGCTCATCTTCATTTCGCTTATCTGTGCTGACGGGTTGCTGACGCGCGCCTTGTCATGATAGTACAACACTTTCCATCCTGGCTCCCCGGAATGGGTTGGAAGAAGCAGACCGACGAATGGAAATTCAATTCTCTGGCTATGTTCAACGTCCCATACGAGTGGCTCAAGGGTGAACTTGTAAGTCGTACGTCACTACGCGCGTCTTATCTGACGATGCTGTAGGACCACGGAAAAGCGACGCATTGTCTCGCAACCGAGTTGTTGAACGACTTGAGCGGTGACGCGACGAGCTCGAAATCGATGGAATTTACCATCAAGAGCGTTTGCGCCACCGCGTACTCGGGCAAGCCACCTCCGTCGTTCACTGTGTTGCTATATCTGCTCACCGCCCGCGTCCTACAGCTGCATCGGACACCGTACGTATTCCCGCCATATCTGCACATTCGTCCCCTTGTCAATTCTCGGCGATAGACTGTGTCCTATTTCAAAGCGTTCATCCTCGCCATGCTTCTATTCCCGGACGCGCAACGACGCGCACATGAAGAGCTGGACAGCCTGGTCGTCGAAGACTGTCGCCTCCCAGACTTCTCGGATGAGAACGCATTGCCATACATCTCGGCGATCGTGAAAGAGGTCCTTCGCTGGGGGGTGATCCTCCCTGTTGGTGAGCATGCTCGTCTCAGTTCACGGATGATACCTACCATTGGGGACAGGACTACCGCACGTCAGCGCCGAGGACGACGAACACAAGGGCCGCTTCATTCCAAAAGGGACTGTGGTGGTGTGGAACATATGGTAAACCACATCCCCCATGCCCCGCCTCTCATTAAACGTCACCATGACAGGGCGATCATGAATGACCCGACGACGTACCCTCAACCGGACAAGTTCGTACCGGAAAGGTTCTTGACGGCCGGCGGCCAGCTCGACACGAGTGTGCAAGGGCCAGACGCCGTCTTCGGCTTTGGGAAAAGGATCTGTGCGGTAGGTATCATAAGTTCGATCTTTCCGCGCGGTATTCTAACGACAACTCACTGATAACCGCAGGGTCGATTCATGGCGCAGGATTCGATTTGGTACACCTCGGCTTGCATCCTTTCTGTGTTCGATATCACGCCGAAGCCAGGCCGGCCCCTGCCCTCTGAGCCGCTGTTCCATCCAGGGTTGAGTTTGTAGGTCGGTCTGTTCTCGGGTTTATACCATGCTCATCCGACGTGTATGTGTAGACATACGATGCCGTTTGAATGCAACATCAGGCCACGCTCTGAACTGGCGACCCGTCTTATCAAAGGAGCTCAAGAGATGGGCGAGCACTGAAAGTCCCGATGGCCCCGTAACATGCTGCATACTAATTTGGCATACATCGTGGGCGTAGCCATGCCATACCTATCATATTATGCTATTTTTCGAGAATGTACATCATCATCGTGCACCCCAAAATATACTTGGATAGCTTTCGAAACCTCCCGTAAAGGCCATTCCAGCACTTCCTACAGGAGCATTGGGCAGTGTATATGTATGCACACAGTTGGTACCAGTTCGTGTTGAGATCAACCAACCAATGTACGAAAGAAAACTTGAAGCAGCGGTCCCCAAAAACGAACCCTCAGCCTCGCCGCACCGCCAACTACGCTAGTACTTACTACATAGTTGACGTACACCATCAGACGTCAACCCCCGTCCTAGGACCAAGACCTCGTACTTGATCACAGCGGCTCGCTTTCCAACCGAGCTCGCTGTATCAACTGGACTGCATCCTCGGAGCGCGGTTTGATATCGCACTCAAAGGGCATCGTGTGCCTGCGAACTCCATAAACCAAGGTGCATGAGCTATGGATGACAGACTTACAAAACTAAGCCTGGGCGAAAGAGTGGCGCAGAGGGCAGGGGTTTGCCAGGCTTCGCAGTGATGTCGAACACGGAGAGGATGCAGGCTGTGGTATACCACATTGAATCATGGGCCATGAACCGACCCTATAAGTAGCCATATTAGATTTCTGGTACTGAGATACGCGACCAATTTGAAGGTGGACTCACCGCACAGACTCTTTTTCCAAAGCCGAAGACGGCGTCTGGCCCTTGGACGCTTGCGTCAATTTGGCCGGCAGCTGTCAGGAATCTCTCCGGGAGCACTTTCTCGGGCTCAGGGTAGGTGGATGGATCGTGGAGGATCGCCCTATGTGCAGCAAGGATGAGGAGGCAATCGAGGATCGTTTGGTCCAGAATCTCACCATACGTTCGGCATTACAACGGTGCCCTTGGGAATAAAGTAGCCGTTCCACTCATCGTCGTTGATGTTGACATGCGGCAGCCCTGTCCTCGACAGTCAATCCGAAAGTCAAAGTGTGAAGAGTTCAACGGAACTTACCAAGAGGAAAGACAGCCGCCCAACGAAACACTTCTTTCACGAGCGCGGAGATATAGGGCAGCGAGCTCTCGTCCGAGAAATCAGGAAGACGTTCTCCTCCAACAACCCTGTCCAGCTCGGCATGCGCTCGCTGCTGTGCATTCGGGAAAAGAACCATGGCAAGGATGAATGCTCTAAAGTAGGCGACGGTCTGGGACTTTGAATAAGATGGGGAAGAAACCGAGGAAACACTGTACTACGTACAGTGTCGGCGCCACCTGGTG